CAGAGGCAGTAAAGAGAGGTCGGTGGTACAAACATACAGTTAGATAGAAGGAATAGTTCTAATGTTTGATAACAGAGTAGGGTGACTACAATTAACAACAATGTATTATATATTTCAAAATTACTAGAAGAGAGGCCTTGAAATATTCCTAACACATAGAAATGATAAATACTTGTAGTAAGGGACGCCCCAAGTACGCAGACTTGATGATCATTACAGTCCATGCATGTAACAAAATATCACATGTACCCCATCAATATGTATACATATGTATCAATTTTTTTAAAGAAAAAAAGAAAATTAACCAAACGTGATTTCACATATTATACAATGATGCAAAATTTTGAGTTGGTTCTTTAGAAAATGATTAAGCAAACAGCAGCACTGGAAGCACATGGAGTGAGGGTCGGGTGTGGGCTGGGGATCTTGGTAACAAGGCTCCAGGACAGCACTGCTGGCCCGCAAGATCGAGGGCCCCTCGTCAAGGTGAAGAGCAGGGCAGGGCTGCACAGGGGCTGCATCCCAATGCCCATCTTTCCATGAGCGTGTCCCCTCTAGGACCCAAACTACTCAACAGCTTTTCCAGGCACTCAGTCAACAAAACAGGTCTTTTCCCAGGGGGGCAATTCTGCTACTTCTAAAAATATAACATTCTCTACACATTGCTACAATATCATTATGAACTGTGATAGGTGCTGTAAATAAAAAGAACACAAAACCAAAACGAGTGACGTAATTTATCTTATTAAGGAAAGGGTGTCAAGGGAAAGCCCCTCTAATGAAGCTAAGACCTGAAGAAGAAACAAGAGTTAGGAGTTAGCATTCAGGCAAACAAGGGGTGGGAGCAGGGAGGCCTCCCAGTTAGAGAGAACAGCATATGCAAAGGTACACAGGCAGGCAGGAAGTTAGCTTGTTTGAGTCATCCAGCTGGTCACTTTACCTACATCATGAAGACCAAGGGGACACTGCACTAGATGAGCATCCAAGTGAGCAGGGCCAGATCACTTTAAATCTGACAGGTCAAGGTAGTGCAATGATATGCCCTAAAGACTTGAAAGGAGAAGCGTTAGGATTCCATTTACCGGCTGCTGTGTGGAGGATGATATGGGAGGTCGCACGAAAGTAGGCAGACTTTTGGGAAGCTACTACAGGATTTGAGGAGGACTGGGCCTGGGAGGTGGTGGTGATGAAGAGGAAGGGGCAATGGGCTTGGGTATCAAGCATCCAGCAGGCCACCACCCAAACATTCACTCCTTAGGTACTAAAAACCTCCGGGGCTACATTCTATCTTTGGCTCTGCAGGGTTTCAGGGGTAAACAAGACATGGCTCTAAGCTCATGGGGCTTCAAGTGAGGCAAAGAGGCAACAGAAAAAAATTCAATAAAAAACCCAGGCAGTGGTAAGTGTTATGCTGAAAATAAGACAGGAAAAGGTGACTGGGGACCACTTAGGTGGTTAGGATGCACCACTAAGAAGGGGTGACAGATTTCATAAAATCCTGCCCTTGTAAGAGAGGCTCAACAAATGATATCCATTAACATCATTGTATTAATACAAAATAAGTACAGGGTAAAGACTTTGCCAGCAGAATTGCTTAAATATCTCAATATACTTCTTTTTGTTGGTTTTTTATGAGGCAGAGTCTTGCTCTGTCACCCTGGGTACAGCGCAGTGGTGTCATCATAGCTCACTGCAATCTCAAACTTCTGGGCTCAAGCCATTCTCCTGCCTCAGCCTCCTGAGTAGCTGGGACTACAGGCACAGGCCACCTCACCTGGCTAATTTTTTCTATTTTTAGTAGAGATGGGGTCTTGCTCTTGCTCAGGCTTGGTCTCAAACTCCTGACCTCAAGCGATCCTCCCGCTTTGGCCTCCCAGAGCTCTACGATTACAGGTGTGAGCCACTGTGCCCAGCCCCAATATATTAATTAACTTTCTAAGGGTATCAACTGCAGCTGCCCATTTTAAAGACAGGCAAGCCACTGCAGACCTAGCAGCCTATTGTATATCCTGCCTAACCTACCTGCTTCCTTCTTTGAAAGTGGAGCCTGGTTTCTGAAGTCAGTATGAAATATGAGAGCTTCCAATAAACACTGAAACTTCATTACTTTGCAATAAAATCTAGATGGGATACTATGAGGCAGATTAAAGGTTTATTTTTACCTCTTGTCAATCTCTAACTTCATGCCAGCAAGAGATAAAGCATAAAGCAGACTGTAGATGACTAACTAATGTGCTGAACCTAGCTGGAGCTAAAAGTACACAGAAAATGTCTCCTGACAGAAACAACGAGACTTCGAGTAGCATAAAACATGTCCATGTTCTGACCTCCTTTCTTTGTACCTTTTATCTCAAGGCTATGAAGCATCTACTTAAATACGTCTGCTACACTAAAGATATGGTTTTACATGTCACTGCCTAACAGTGTCCTCAAACAGCAGGTTCATTTGATAAATACTGCAATAGGAAACTGCACTCTCAGCAACAGTTATCTTCCCAAGGGGTCTCTTCCCACTCTCTCCATTCCCACTGAACTGGTTAGTCTCAGTGCAGTGGTTCACTCTTAACAACTTTATATAGCTCGCTAACTTTCTTAGCACTTTGCAACAAAATTTCATGCTGATGGGTTCTTGGGGAAGTTCTCTGAGCAATCAGAGATTCTAAGGGCACACTCCACTTCTGAGATTCTCCTATCAGGCCAGTAAGTGTCTAGGAACTCACCGGACACAGTAAGTGGCCACACGAAAAGAGCATACAGTAAAAATGTGTACAAGAAGAAAGAAAAAAGTATACGGTTCTTCCCCGATCAGCAATAAATAATACAGCTACCAGTAAGGACTGTCCCCTGTAGCCCAATCAACCTAAGATCCCTGGGATTTGACAAAGTTTGACACCAGTCAGGTTTGTTGACTCAGTGTAATAAGGAAGCTGCCCCATATGGTTCTGGCAAACATTAACCCTAAGACTCACAATAACTCTGAAGGTTGTATTATTACCCTATTTTTACTCATCAGGAAATTGAAGCTCAGAGAAGTGTCCTTCCTCAAAGTCACATAGCTAGTAAACAATGGCCCATGGAACTGCAAAACCCTTACAAAGCAACTTGGAATACCCACACCCCAAGTGAAGCCCGTAACTTTTCCTCTAGACATTCTAAGCTAATGTTTTACAAACATTTTTTAACTATAGGAAGAAACTTTCCTTCAAATAAAATGTTACTAAAACCCATAAACAAACGGATATGTATTTAAGGTACAGGATGATACCCTCCTTCAGAACTGCCTTAGCCACCACGGCAAGGCAGTAAGTGATACAGTGTGTTTTTAACACACTTAATTCAACTTAACCAAACAGGTCATCTGCATCTGCGCCTTCTCACTTTTCTTGATGCTTAAAAGCTGACCAGCTCCTCTGAAAGGTGGTAGGGCAAAACTGCACACTTTTCTGAACAGTAATGATATACCACTGCACAATTCTAGAGCTCCAGCATTCCTGGCTAAAGGGACAGCAAAAGAAATGGAGGTTTGGACACAAACTAGCATCCAGTAAAAGGCATTCATATTCTTCTTTTTACACAAAATTAACACATTAACTGCCATGTGAGTTGTATTTGACTAACACTAGTTTTGAGCCCGGGGCCTCGTGAAGCATATGTAACTCACAAGTCTCTTTACCTTGGGAGCCATATGGTGTGCAGGCAACTCATGCTGCCATGCTGTAGCATAATGTTATGTGATGGGTGGTCCCCTGGGGAAAACCCTGCAATTGGTTCTTGAAAATCTTACTTGTTGATGTTTATTGTTACAATTGACAAATTTAACTGCATATAACTCATGCACAGAAAATAAAAAATAACAAACGTTTCATTAAATTAGAAAGGATCGTTTTGTTTTTGAAGTTTTTATTCTATTTTCATAATAAAACACTGGGGCCCCAAGGAAAACAATTTTTTTTTAGTGTGGCAATGTCTAGATTTTACTTTTAGTTTAAAAAAGTAAGGTGACCTGAATGAAAACATCTGTGTAGTTAGTAACCTACAATGGCATATAATGTACCTTTACTTCAGAGTATCCAGGAGGTCTGAGATAACAGGATAGGTTTTGTCACTTGTTCAAATCTTCCTGTCAGGATCTGTGTCATGTCTGGCCACATGCAAAAGACACAGGGGGAAAGCCCACAACTGCAAGGAAACTGCATGCCCATACTTGCATGGCCAAGGCGTTGGCCAGAGTCCATGTCTGGGCTGAAAGAGGAGCACTGCCTGGGAGCGAGCTCACTGCACGGGAGACACTGCTGGCTTCCGGGTCACAGCCAATGTGCTCCTGGTAGGCTAAGGTGACCACACCACAGGTGTGGCAGATGCTGTTAGATGGCTGATTCACCCCTCCAACCCTCCTTTCCCTAGCTGCCTTCTAGCTATAGGCGGCCTATGATCCAGCTCTGGACAGTGAGATGTAAGCAGAAGTCAAGAAGGTTGGCAGCCATAGCCAACATGCCTGCAGCTCCAGCTGTAACCGTAAGACAATATGCCAAGTAGGAGGATGACAATGTACTAAGGAAGGTGGCTCAAAGAACAAAGAGAGCTTGGGCCCCTGGCAACATCTGTGAGCAACTCAGCCCTGGACCATCTACCTCCAGACACCATGTCACCTGAACCATATAAATCAATAATTATTTAAGTCACCATAACTGGCTTTTTGGTACTTGTAGTCAAATACGATCCTAACTGAAATGACCGACTCTGGTGACTAAGATTTCTTCTCCCGTAAAGTATATGATTGACTGGGGGAGCGGGGGGGGAATGAAACTTTCTCCTGTAAGTCACTTCCCCCAACACACACTCAAAACTGCCTTACTAGGAAAAATAACTGCTACATATTTTGTATGGTCCCAGAGCAGATTACAGAAATTTAACAAGAACTTTATGTCTTTAAAAGAAAAGAGTATAAACACAAGCAAGATATAAGAATACAAAAACCCCAAGGTAATAAATAACTCTACCTTAGAAATGTCGCTTGAATGACTCATGGAATGTCCCAAAGTCTTCTCATGCTGCAAGAAAGCAAAACAGGTGTTAAGTATCAAGCTTTGATTAAAATATGCAAAGAACGAGTAAATGATCATAACAATCCTACTGAAAAATCATTCCCTGAACTAGAATTTGCTAAACACAAACTACTATATACTACATGTGTGCAACCAGGTACCAGATACTGGAGAACTGGGAAAAATGAATAAAAACGAATAGTACCTGCCCTAAAGAAACTTAACAAGTTATCAAGAAAAAATCAAGAGTTTGGAATTAACTGTCAAAATAAGATGGTGATAAATGTCTTAAAACACATCGCAGGCGGAGGTTCAGAGGTGAGAAACTACACGCTCAGCTGCATGTGGCGGAGTCCACGTTATGGGGAGCTGCTGTAGGATAGGGAGGAAGCACGCGGCACAACTGGCCCCACCTGAGCTGTCTGGCGATCGCAGTGCTCGGTATTCAACTGGACATCGCACAGCTCATACCTTCTCCCTCAAGCCACTTTCTCCTCCTGGAGCAAAGAAACCTGGAGTGAAGCTAGCCTCCTCCCTCTCACGCACCTCCACATTCATTCACAAAGTCTTGTATCAAATTCTTCCTCCTTAATGTTTCTCAATCTCGAATCTCATTTCCATTTTTATTGTCAATGCTGTAATTTAGCTTCTCCTCACTTCTCATCTGGAATTCTTGAATAACTTCCTACCTGGTCTTTCTGCCTTTAAGTTGACCTTCTAGATACAAAATTGTTATGGGCTAAACTGTGTGTCCCCTTCACCCCCACAAAAATTCATGTGTTGAAGTCCTAACCCCCAGTACCTCAGAACGTGACTGTATGTGGAGACCGGGTCTTTAAAAAGGTAATTAAGTTTAAATGAGGTCATCGGGCTAGACCCTAATCCCATAGTCCCAATGACTGGTGTCCTTATAAGAAGATAAGAATAGGACACAGACACACAGGTGGAAGACCACATGAACACACAGGTAAAAGACAGCCACCTACAAGCCAAAGAGAAATCAGCCCTGCCGGCACCTTGATCTCAGACTGCCAGCCTCCAGACTGTGAGAAAATAAATTTCTGTTCTTTAAGTCATCTGGTGTGTGGTGCTTTGTTATGGCAGCCTTAGCAAACAAAAACAATAATCTTCCACGCTTTGACTTTTTTTTTTTTTAAAGTGAACACTCCAAACATAAATCTGATTTTTAAAAATAAGAAAGTAACTTCTCCTGAATCTACTCATTCTTTCTCTAAACCCAAATAAGTAAAAAAAACCCAAAAAACACATACACACAAAACCCACAAAAACAAACAAAAAAAACAACACATTACCAAAGGAAGAGAAGATCTTACTTGTATCTTTAAAATGATCTGTCTTCAGTTCGCATGCCGTGCCCTAACCATGGGGAAGGCTGAGATGTAATTAGCAAGTAAAATCCCTTGGTCAATCAGAAGTACAAAAGAGTTAATGGATTGCTTGAAAACTCCTTTAAAGAGGAGCTAATTCCACTCCATCAAGCCTCTCCTTAAAGGAAGCTAGCTATCAAGAGAGTTTGAACTTTTCCTTTCCCCTCAACTCACCAAATTACAGACTGCCTTCACTTTTGCACACTCGGTTTGTGAACACTCAGTATCCCTGAAATACCGATGAAGAAACATTTCCAGACCTCTCAGCAGTGGCCTGCCAACCAGCACTTCTATGCTGGCAACGTTGTCTTCTTTGTCTTCACAGCAATGTGTTTGTGTAATTTTTTGATTATTTTTATTATATTCTTCCCTTTTTTTTGTAAGTCTAAATGGAAATAGAAGTACAGGTTTCTTAAGAGTAATACAATACAGACACTGCTACTAAATGTTTAGCCTCAGTGGATTGTTTCTTGGTCTTAAGCCAGTCAATGAGTTAGTTATACAGGAAAAGAACAAAACTATAAAGTATGTTCAAAGTGTCACCAAAAGAATGTTTCTAAAAGACCAATTTTAATTAGGAATTTCATTCAGTCATGTCATTCATGAATTCACTCCCCCTAGGAATGGAGACCCTCTGTCCACAGAACAAGCAATCTATAAGCCATTTAAGTTTCATTCACTAGTCAAGAATGTATTATGGATAAATAAGCTTCCAGGTGACTCCCATGCCCTTGGCTGGTCCCCAGACCACAGTTTGAAGTGCAAATTTCATTCCAAATCTGGGACCAGAATAATCCATAAAGGCTATGACTCATGACCTTTTTTTTTAAGAGACAGGGTGTCAGTATGCTGCCCAGGCTAAAGTACAATGGCTGTTCACAGCCACCATCATATCAGACTACAGTCTCTAATGCCTGCACTCAAGCAATCCTCCTGCCTCAGACTCCTGAATAGCTGGGACCATAGGCATGTCTAGCTTATGATTCATTTTATAAAAAGCAAATCATGACTATTTCAAAAGCACATTCCTATGTAAAAGATGACAGTGAACACACAATTGAGTTCATACAAATAAATCAATCAGGAAACAGACTGATACACAGATTGGGAAAGAATGAGTCTGAGGGTGTAAGGCAGCAAAGTTTTGTTAATTGTAAGAAGTTACAAAATCACAAAGATAAAAAGAATCTCACTTGAAGAATAAGGGGCATTTCACAATTTAATCAGTCCTGTCAAAGATGTTTTGCAAGTCCATGTGTGGCTCCAATAGAACGTACCCTGGGGGTAGAACCAAGCCGCAGAACCCACATAGAACAAACACGCCTGGAAAGAAGCAGCCAAGAATTATCAAGCAGACAATGAGGTGAGATGCCTAAGCAAGTTTTTGGGATTCTGTATAAAAGAATTAAACAAAAGAACTTCGTGTGGGTGTTTCCCTGAAACTCTGACCAGGACCAGTCATTAAAAAAACAAAAAAAAGTCTATGGGAAAGAAACATTGCTAACTTCCTACTCAGCATCCATGCCCCTTCATCTCCACCTACAGACCCTGACTTTGTTCTGAACAGCAAGGGCCCCAGCTGAAAGTTCTCACTTTCCCACATCACTTTGTAATTAAGGAAAAATATGTACAAAAGTTCTTTGTAAAGAAACTAACTAGAGGTTTTCTGGGAAAACATATTGCTTTCCTGATATAGCCACTACCCATTTCTCCGAAATTTCTCCTCCTTCATCCAGCCTGGAAAATAGATGTAATACCAGGAAGTACAGCAGTTAACCCTGGGACCATGAAGAAGAAAGATATATACCAGAAATCTGTGACTTTTGGTCTCAGGACCCCTTTACACTATAAAAAATTATTAAGGACCCCTAATATGTCTATTATAAAATAGATATAAGTATCAACTCATTTAGCATTAACAATAAACCCAGTTAATATAAATAAAATTTCTATGAAAGATAACTGTTTTCCCAAACATAAAAATCAGTGAGCAGAGTGATATTGTTTTACATTTTTGTAAAGCTCATTAACATCTAATTAATAGAAGACAGCTGGATTCTTATATCTGCCTATATATCAATCTCTTTTGATATGCTGCTTTTGTGGGGACCCACTCAGACCTCTGGGAGTTGATATAAAGATTATTTTAAGCTGAGGACGTTTGAGATTCAATATATGCAGAAAGAAGCCCTCCCCATCCTTCCCTTATCTGACTAAAAGCAGAAACTTCTGGCAAACTGAGGCTGCCATAAAATCCCTCTTCAAGGGTTTACTCCCAGGAAGGAGACCTAGAGTAACCCTATCATAATTCCCCTCTCCAGGGGAGTTTTATGGCCAAGAGAAAGGAAAGACCACGCCCACCTGCAAAAACAAACATCACAAGCTTTCTTTTTTTTTCCTTTTTTCTTTCTAAAAAGAGAACCCAAATACCAGTGTTTGTTGTCCAGCCCAAAAGTCAAGTTGGCCAGGGCTGGCACTGTGCCCAGATACAGCCCCGCTTGTGTACCACCATCCTTTGAGCATAGCACACAACGTGTCCCCTGACAAATGGCTCCGAAGCCTGTTTTCCAAGGACTGGCCCACTGAAGCATCATGGAAAGGGGTTTCACCCCTTCCTGCTTCCTTCAGCTCTTTGGTCAACTTATTTAAAATTAAAATACGTGTCTCTCCCCCACCTTTTTGTCGCTTCTGATTCTATTTTGGCCAATTATTCCTGCTCAGTGATGTTCGTAATATGGAAAAATTGGCAAATTAAACCTGGCACAATAGGGAAATCATTACAACAAACCACAGGTCCGTGACAACCATTATCACTTCCTTTATCTATCATTTTTCCTTGTTACAAAAGCAGCACACAGTCACTGCAGAAAAAGCAGAACAGAGAGATAACAAGCTTCCCCAAGGCAAGCAGTGTTGGCCCCTTGGGGAACGGCCCTTCAGAGTAGCAACTGAAAGCACATGCATAGGGAAATCCCGCCATTTCTGGAAGACTGATAACCGACTCAAATTCTAGGAAGGTTTTCAGAAAGGACTGCACAACTGCTTCGTGGCCTAGCTGGATGACCAATGTCCCCAAGCCCCTGACAGCTTCAGAGCAAAAGCTGCCTAAGCCAAATGGGCCAGGTGCTAGGAAGTGACCCACTGTTCCGGAGGGAGAAAAGAAGCCCATGTCCCACGTCCCACTGCAGGAGGGCTTTCCTTCCCTCCCTGTGCTCCCCCTAGGAAGATGTTCAAGGTAGTGGCAGAGCCAAGATCCTCCTTGTCACCTGGAGACGCCCTGCCACTTGCCCACCAGGCAGCAGTGGAGTGTTCTAGGCAATGGCAGAAGCTCCATGGCCTTCCTGCTAGAAGTCCAGAAAGCTCAGGTGGAGTCTCATCATTCCCTGTCTGGGTCCACCTGGCTGGCATTCACAAGGGGCCCATTTGCCCGAGCACTGGCAGTACAGGTGTGTCACTCACCAGCCCAAGCCAGAGTCTAGAAGGTGGAGACCACTAGGACCAAAGCCCCAAGAGCACCTCAGCTGATCTGTGCAACACCTGGATCTGCAGCCACAGGCACTTGAGACTTTTTTGTCTCCTTTCTAGCACTTGTCAAGGTCTGGATTCATCTTATTTGTG